TGTGTGTATACGTGTACGAAATGACTAGAGAACTCGAAACCTTTGAGATGCAGATCGTCCAAGAAATAGAATAAGAAACTCAGAGAAGCAATGGCAAGACACCTGGGATAATTTTCTTTTCTTTATTTTGGCAAATAAATTGAGCCATTTAAAGTCAGAAACTGTATTTTTACAAAAAAAAAAATACAGTTGAATGACAATGAACGAGTTGACATATCGAGAGGCATGGCAAGTAACAGTGTGTTCTGCTCTTACAGAAAGGCTACGAGATGCCCCATCTTCTTCCCCAAACAACACTTCTTTCGCTTGGACCACTCCTTATTTTTTTTTAAATATACCTTTTAAGCTATATACAACCTAAAAAGATGTATGCAACTATTTTTGTTTTTACTCGATAGTTGTCATCTCACTTGATGTATAAGAAAATCCTTTAATGTTTTTGAAAAGAATATCAAGCTGTATTTTTACAAAAAAAAAGAAAAGAATATCAAGCTGTATTTCTTATGTTTTTCTTTGGAGAAAATGTCTCGAGTAATTTACTCGTTCAAAATCACCATCATTACCAACATAGATCTCGATTCTTTCGTACCTCAGCATGAAGTTGTTTTGTCTACCAAACTAGCAAAATGTCTAACAACAATCCAACCGCAACCTGTATTTACCAAATCGTCACTCTCACCCTTAACCATCGATTTGTCCCTTAACCGATAAGAAGGGAAAAGAAGGGTAGGCTGATAAAGTAAAGCGAAAAGACAAAAAGAAAAGCAAGAAATGAAGAAGTGTATAAAGAAACCAAACAAAACCCACTTGTGTAACCCTACCTCGAACCATGTATACTCAACTTTTCATCATCTCACCGGTCACCTCCTCCTTTTGGCAGTTCTCTACTTTCTTTTTGAATTTATCTGTTTTTTTTTTCATTGATTTTTTCATAAATCTTTGTTTCAAGTCGGTTCTACTAGCAGAATTTTAGATTATTTAATATGTTATAAAATATAATAATTTTATTTATTTTATAAAATTGATATATTTTTATGTTTAAAATTGCATAAAATATACAAATAAAATAAAAATTTGATCTTATAATATTATAGATCAAATAAGTAAAATAAAAAATATTTTTTGAAAAAATAGCTAAAAATAAATTAGGCAGCTACATAGTTATTTAGACAATTAGACGATCATTTAGGTGGTGTAGACGGACTAAGATCAAACATCTAATTTTTTAAATCAATTGACATAAATTAAGTAATGCCTAGGTTTATACGGCTAAGCACCGATTTTCAGAACAAAGAACAAGCTTTATAGATATAATTTTTGTATCAAAGATCACGGTATAAATTGCTTCTTTGTTTTAAATAAAGAGTATAGACTCGTGAATGTATTTAATTATTTATTTCTTTATTTTATATGTATTTTATTGTTTTTCTTGTAAGATTCATGTTTGTAAATGTTTCACAACTCTTCATTGAAGTCTTTAAAATGTAATTTAATAAATTACAAATAATTCAATGACATTCTTAGTCGAGGAAAAGCATAAAAGTAACAAAACACTGATATGTTGATATCTCATAGTTTAATGGATTTAACGTTTCATGTTAGCCCATTTGCATCATTTAAAACTGTAATTATATATGTTTAAATTGCATACATTTGCATTTATGCGATTTCTGAGTTTGGAGTGATTCTAGTCAATTTCTGGAAAGATTTAAGCACAAACATAGAAATGCTTAAATTGATGATTTTCAATGCTTGGTACATATTTTATATAACTCTTATTCGATTGGTGTGTTTTATAGTAAATTAAGATTTAAAAATTATGAATCTAGACTACAGGTTATTTCATGTTTGAATTGTTCGACGAAATGCTTAAATGAACTAATCTAAATGTTTGGCATGGTAGGTCAATGAAAACGGATGCTTATTTGATTTGTGGTTGTATGCACTTGTGGTCAATGCATATTAGAATGTGATTAGCTAAGAAAATTGATGTTAATTACATGATTAGTATAAAAATTAAGATCATGAAAAAATTGGTTAATCTAATTGTGTATTTCTAAACCTAAAAATTATCATTTGAATGTTTAGTTAGCATCTTGGACTAGTATTATATCACCTAATCAGTTGCCACATCACATGAGTCTATTTTTAAACTTTGATTAAATCTTATTTATTTGCTTAGTTATTGCTTAGAATTAAATTTTTATTTATTTGGTTTTTGATTAATCATGAAACTTGTATTTTTGTCTTGAATTATCTAAATATGGATTGACATTTTAAATACTATTATTGATATCACTTTAGCTTAACAGTATTTTTGTTAACCTCATATGCGTTGCATAAAAGGGCACTAAAATGTCAACGTATTGTTTTTCTTTATGAAGTGTCCACCAGTCGACGTATTGTTGATTCACTATATCGATTTTGTACTGATTTTACCATTAAAAAAAAAAAGCAAAAAGCGTACAGGCGTTGAAAATGAAAACTTAAGTTTTGTGTTAATGAAAGTAATGAAAAAAGATTGAATATTTACGTAACAGCACTCTCACATATTATAGCCTGACACTAACGTTAATAATGGAAAAAAAAACGTTAATAATGATTCTTTAAATTTATTTGCTTCTAAACTTTAGGGAGTTGTATGTACATACATCATACCAAAACAAAATATGTCAATATAACGACCAATTCAAAGACGTTTGTTAATACATTAAATTATGGTAGTAGTACACTAGTATGGTGTATGCTATGACAAATTGCCAATGTTGCAGACTCAAAATAGCTTTCTTTTGTTTGTTTATTCCCGAGTCGTGTTAAAACAATTAAAAATAGATATAAAAATCCACGAGTCGAAATAGTTTTCTTTTTTTCTAAAATTTGGTATAGTTTAGGTGGTGAGTACTTACCTTTTTTTGCCACAAGGTGGTGATTACTTTCCATCGTCCACGACTCCATGTAAACGATAAGAATCTATTAGGACAGAAAATAAAACGATGAGAGCCTGCCACTTTCCATGTGCAATCCCCAACTAGAAACGACAACCGTTCGATTGTCCCTTGTAATGTACAAGCTGCTTCTGGAACACTAATCCAATGGCAGATGACATAACCATATATTTACAGATCTTTACGACAACAACTTATTACTTTTTCTTTTGTCTTTTATCCGGAAAATATTTAATAGATAAGAAAATATTAAAAACATCTACAATAATTGGCTTCATTTCAATATTCCTAATTTCACTTTTTTCAAAATGAAGAAACATATGGAATAATATTTAGAAGTAAAAAATGAACTTATTTGATTCTTTTAATGAATTGATATGCTTTTTGATATAAATATATGATTTAATGAAAATAATAGTCAATATTTTGAAATTAACTAGATAATATTAACGTATTTAATTTATTGTGACAATAAATAAGAATATGTAAAAGTTCTTGATCCGTTTATAATGTAAAAACTTATCTTTAAAAAATGAACATATTCACAGTAAATCTTTAATTTGAAGTAACAATGTTCACTATTTCATTTGAAGTAAAGAATGAAGTAAGATTTGAGCCAAAGCTACTTCAAAAGGATGTAAAAATAAAAAAATGGACTAGGATTTAAGATAGTCTTAGATTTCGTTAGGTAAACATTGTTAAATCAAGGAACCATGAAAAATGTTATTAAGATGTACAAAATAATTAAAAACAATGAAACAAAAGCCGCGGAATGATATTTTAATATTAATCTAAATATTTATATAATTACTTAGCTTATTTTAATATATTTTAATAATAAATTGATATCTTATAACATTATAAAATTCAATGATAGTATAATTTTATTTATAACATAACTATTTATCATTAAATTTTATTAGTATTTATGTAAAAACTATCAATCACATTTTTTTGTCAAAAACGACAAAATTGTGTTTTTCACAAAATCGCAAAATTAAGTTTTCTCGCTTAATCTATAAATCAGATTTTTCCGCAAATTATTCCGCTAAATCTCAATATCAAATTTATTTATATTTATTATTTCTTAAAAGATAATCTTAAATAATATTTTTGAACATAATTATTAGTTTATTATTTCTAGTATGAATCATGTTATTTTGTCTTTTTAACTAGTTCAAACGTTATTATAAAATGAAAGACGAACATTTTAACATCTAGAAATGTATTATACAAATATTAACTATAAAATGAAGGGCATCTAGATACAATATCATATTTTTCATTTTATTTATCGTTTTAGGATTTTGTATATAAATTAATAAAATATTTAATTTTGTATATTTTCAAAATAAAAGCATCATTATTTATAAATTTAATTATACATCAATTAAATAAAAAATAGAAAATATGTAAATTAATAAATTTTAAATTGAATCATGAAACAATACTTATTTTAAAACAAATTTTACTTTATAACGACAACTAAATTGAAACGGAGAAAATAATAGATATTATCTATAAATCTAATTATACTTTAATCAATAAAAAATAGAAAAATATTTAAAATCAATAAATTTTAAATCGAATCATGAAGCAATACTTATTTTAAAACAAATTTTACTTTATAATGACAATTAAATTGAAACGAAGGAAATATTATATTGAAACGATGCATCTGCATGCTACTATCCTAATACCAAAGCGAATATGGTTTAATAACTTATGTTAAGTGAATATAAAGTATAACTTAAAACTGTAGACCAGATGCATTTGGACCATGCATTAAAACATTTCTTGACCAGGTGACCAGATGATTAAAAATAATTGTAGACCATGCATTTAAAATTTTCTCTCCGGGTTATGCGAAATATGAAAAAGCAAACATGTCTCTCTCCTGACATGCACGAACCAAAAAGTTAGTATTGCTTAATATTTTTTGTTTAAACATTAATTCACGTCATTATTTGTTTAATTAAAAGAAAAAACCCTTTTGACCACACCCTTTCTCTATATAAACATTTTCAGCCTTCTCCTCTCTCTCATCAAACCACACGATATTCTCTCTTACGTAAACAGCTAAAGAAACCTATCTACATAGTAATCTCTCTCTCTTCTTAAAGAAACAATGGCAGAAACAGCAGCATCATCGCCATTGAAACGCCAAAGAGAAGAACATGAACAAGAAACCAAGCTCCAAGAAGATACAAAAAGACAAAAGCCTTCGTCATCTTCTACCTCGTATAATCAAGTTCACTGTCTCTTAGACGATGAGGAAGCAGAAAATGATTTGACTTCCCTAATCAGCACACTTCAGCAAGAAATCTCTAGGGACGATACAAACGCTGCCGTTTTTGAGAACCCTGCTCTCTCTTCTTTATCTTGCTCCTCCTCCTCGTCTTCGTGCGTTTCGAAGGAAGAAGAGTACGAAAGTGACAAGGAGAAAGTGATGAAGCATCTTCTTGAAGCTTCCGACGACGAACTCGGGATACCTAGCACTGAAACTGGCGGGAGTAATTATGAGATGATTAACAATGAGACTAATCAGGATTATGTTAATGAGTTTAGTTTATTAGATGGGTTTTGTGATGGGCTTTGGGAGCTAGAGGATGAAGCTGCTAACTATTACACGTTATTGCAATCAGAACTGTTCATGTAGAAGTTCACAAGGGTAGAATAGGGAAACAAGAGGATGGGTAGAAGGGGAAATTTAAAAGACCAAATATGATGATCAAGAAAATATAATTGAATATTTTCTTAATGGAAGTTTATTGTTTTTTTTTCCCATGCGGATTTGACATTTTATATTTCTTTCTTTAATTAGTTTATTAATTTCTAGTGGGGCTAATGATAAAGATAGTATTTTGTTGTTTTATCTTTACTTTTTTGTTAAGTTATAAAAAGACAAACCCTACTATCAAAGAACTTGAGGACTAAACTTGAGTAAGAAATGCAGATCTTATTCAAGTGGGGCTTTAACCGGTCCCATTCCGGACCAACTTGTCAAAATGTAAAGTTTAAAAATTATCTTCGGTTATTAAAAAAAGCAACAAAAAATAGAACACCTTATAATATTTTTGCTGGTTGTTATATACTTTAAACAAAACCTAAAAATGATATATAAAATATTATATAATAAGATTATAGTATGCATTGCACCTGGAATCGAAATATCTGAAAATCAAATATCTGTATCCATATAAATGGCCATACGGCATACCTATGGATGTGGTCATCGCTATTTCTAATATTCCAAATATATTTCAATATTAAATTATCAGCACAAAATGTGTGAACAGATATTGATTATTTATAAAAATATTTGAGTAGTTAAATAACTTGTTATACTAATTATTCTATAAATTATGAAATTATATCTAATATTTAGACATACAAAATAACATGAACTCATAAATTTTACATATGTCATTTTAAACATAATACTGAAGAAGAAATATTTAAAATAGTAATTATTTCCACTGTAAATATTATTAAAATAAAATAATTTTAGATTGTTTATATTGTGAATTTCATTAGAGTTCATATTTGTAAATTAAATAATAAAATAGTTTTTAAAGTAAAAAGAAAAAAATAAAATTAAAGAAAAAAGGTTTTTATTTTATTTTTTAAAAAACTAGAATTCTAGTAATTATGTTAAAACTTCTACAGATTTTGTAAAGGTGTGTTTATCAAGTCCAAAAATGAACCTTCCTTGGCCAAAAAGTCTACAGAAACATATGGGCCAAGAACGACATACATACACTCTTGCTTCTTTGCACATAGAAGTGTTGTACACCTTCAATGTTGGATACTCTCTTTATTCTGATCTCCAGTGGAATCCAGTTCTTTAACCCCACTAAATCCAAGTTCAGACATATCCTGCTTCGCCATTAAGTTTCTGCATACATCCAACGTTTCTCAATAAACTTTTCCTATAACCTTAAACCCTTAATCCCAAGACTAGAGAGAAGTATGATGGTCCGAGAGAGTAGTAAAAAAGGTCTCACTTGGCCATTCGACACTGGAGATATTTCTTGGAGAGATGTCTACACTGCTCAGATTTGTTACCTGAAGACTTGAGGCAGGCAAGATATTCTGTCTTCTCCTGAAAAACAAAATGTTCCAGTCAAGAATGCTAAACTGAAAGATAGCCATATATCTGACACCGAGACGAAGAAGAGAGAACCGTTGTTGAAGTAGAACCGTTGTTGAAGTAGTGTACCGTATCACATTCGTGTAAGTGATCCAAAGGGAAGATGCCCTTTTCTGGTGGGATAGGTCTCAGTCCTCTGTTTCCTCCAAAAGCTCCACCTTCCCACCACAAAAAGAAAAAAATTCAATAGGGGCCGGTAACGAGTGAAAAACATATTTTCTGAAAATTGATTTACGTGTCCTATGGGAACAACAGTGAATAAGCTACTATAGATCATCATATCCAAGAGAATATATAACAGTTTTTATGTGAACACTAAACCATCATCTATGGGTTCTTTTTTTTTTTTTTGATCAACCAATTTATGGGTTCTAAAAAGGCATTTTAGGTATAAGCAAACTCAACACAGACAATATAGAACCGTGGGTTATCTTAAAGACTAATCAAATACATAAAACAAGAACTTTGTCCCATTTGAACCTCACTTAATCTAAATTCCAGAGTAATTGAAACTAGTAAAAAATATAAAAGGAAGAGAAGAAAAGGCACCTGTACTCATAATGATACTTGAGTCAGCGTTATGTGAGGTTTGACGCTGAAAAGTCGAGAGAAGGAGGGTCAATATTTCCAAAGTTGACTTCTCGGTTGTGTTACTTGGTCCATTGAACAGGATTAATTTCAATCCAAGTTACATATAAAACATACTGAGGTTTCATTGACAAACCAGACAATAGTTTGTCTACCTATTTATTAAATTGATCTAAGGAGTAGCATTAAAAATGAAATACAATTGTTTCCAAAGATTATATATTGTATCTGTTAAAAAAAGTATCAATCTTCCAGTCAGCTCATCATCTCAATTCTTTTGTCAATTATGTCATACAATTACTCACTAGTGTCTTCACTCAGACAAATTGTCGAACACCTAATCTACATTACATAAGGAAAAACAAGAAGACGAGCAGAAACAAACACAACTGCTTCAAAAAACTTCAGTGAGTCAGGCGTTTTGTCGAACATCTTATCTACATTACATGTTTGGTATATTCATTGGAACCAAATCTAATCACCATATATTACCATCTAGTCCTAAAACCAAAAACTGTTATACAAGTCAACGAAGATTGACTTTACAGATTATAGTTGCTCTCTGAAAACGTTGCCGGTGAGGGGGAAGGCGATGGAAAAGTCAGAAGTGAGTAGATAGGCCTGGGAAAAAAAACCGGAACTGAAGAACCAAACCAGAATCGAATCGAAATATCTGAAACTGGAATCGAACCAAAATCCTCAAATATCTGAACAATTCTTAAATTTATATATCTAAAATAACCGAATCAGAACCGAATCGAGAACCGAACGGGTACCCAAATATATAATAATATTAATTTTATATACATATAGCATAACTAAATATATATTTTAATTTAAAATATATTAAAATTATCTAAAACTAGTTGAAGATAACTAAATAATTATAAAGTATCTGAACTACCTAAAGTATACAGATAGTTTTATCTGAAATATCCAAAGTAATCCGAAATTTGTATCTAAATCATTCTAATTATTTAATATTTTATCCTAAATAATTGATAATTTAACCAAACTACCCAAATCCGAACCGAAACCAAAAGAGAACTAAATTATTCAGGTATTTTTGGTTCCTAGTTTTACTATCCGAACCGAACCGAACCGAACCCGAAACTATCCAAACCCGAATCGTTGAACTGTCGCAACCAGTCTTTCTCTTCCTGGTAGAACCGAAAATAGATCAAGTAATAAATAGATCCTCTAACCCCCTATCCGAAACCGATATCAGAAACGCCGAGACCTATGAGTAGAGATATTGGAAGACCCCTTCGCTAAGTAACCCATTAACCCATTAAGGTCATGGGTAGTATAGCTTATGACTGCAACAGACGAGTTTGTAATTTGGAAACTCAAATCACTAGGTGAGATTTGTGAATTTATCTTTGAATTTGTTTACCAACGATACACTAATCATCATGCAAGCCTATGATGATTCGATATAAATCCTAAGAACCAGACATATATATAACCGGTAATGAAATGAGAAGCAAAGTAGATAAACTAGAGGCTGAGATAATAATAACTTAAAACATTTGTCCAACCAAAATGTAATCATACGATGAACCAAGTTTTCAACTGTTACAACAAAAACAAAACAAAACACTTCAGAAACTAGATTCTCAGGTCGACAATCACAAATCATCATCATTCTTAATCGCTGGTGGCTGATATGAAGGCACTTCCAGGCTGACGGTTAGCCAACGGACCATGGTTCGACAGAAACTGCAACACAGACACAAAAATGTAAATCAGAATAAAAGACTCAAATAGTGTGAAGAAACCAGACAAAAGACAAGAACAAGAACAAACCTTAGCGTTAACACCATCAGGAACAATCCTCTTCGACTGTCTCAACCTCGTGTAATCAGCACGGTTGAACTTAGTGAATCCCCTGAAAACCATCAAATGCATCAGTTAACAGAACCGCTTAACCACAAAAACAAACTCATAAAACAAAAAAAAACACACCATTTCCTGCTAACAATAATCTTCTGACGGCCAGGGAACTTAAACTTAGCCCTCCTCAACGCCTCCTGAGCATGAGCCCCATGATTATCCTTACACCTCACAGACAAAAGCACCTGCCCAATCGCAACCCTAGCGCAAGTCCCCAACGCCTTCCCAAACGCCCCTCTCATACCAGTCTGAAGCCTATCAGCTCCGGCGCACGAAAGCATCTTGTTAATCCTCAGCACATGGAAAGGATGAACCCTAATCCTCAAATGGAACGCATCTTTCCCCGCTGATTTCACCATGTACTTGTTGCAAGCGATACGCGCCGCCTCGAGGGCTTCGCTGGAGACGTTCTCCTTCTCCCAGGAGACGAGGTGGACGCAGAATGGGAACTCGTCGACTCCTTTCTTCTTCATTCCCACGTCGTAGATTCGGATCTTGGGGTCCGGGACACCGCGGCAGTAGCGGGATTTCGGGTAGGGTTTGCCCTTGATCTGACGGTAACATCTCGCTGGTCCTATAAATATTGATTTTGATTCAATTAATAATAACAAATCAAAAATCTCAAACTAATCAGAGCCTAGCGAGTTCATATATAACACGATTAAATGCAAGTGGTAACATAGCACATATCATAGCTTATACGACGAATCTAAAACATTAGATTTAACTGAAATGACGAAATTTTAAACTAATCAGAGCCTAGCGATTTTATATGAGCCTCGTATGGATAAGGAATCGAATCAGATAATTTGGAATTGAGATTTGGAGGAGGAGGAGGAGAAAGAGATAATGACTTACTTCGTCCCATGGTGTTGGTTGGTTTTTGGTTACGTTCGGCGATTGTGAGTTGCAAAACCCTAGAAAATTAGAAATGGGACGCGTGATGTTGTTTTTATAGGAGGAACAGCTCGAAGGATCTAAATTTAGTGTACGTCATTGCTTAGCTAGGCCCAATGGACTTTTTTTTATGTCCAGGCCTTAATCTTTGACTTGACTTTCGTAGTTTAATGTGTGTACACGATTTTTTTTTCGTCTAATGTTTTTTTTTTATTTGTGGTCAAAAGAAAAACAGAACATTATCTTCACAAAATTTGAATCAAAAACATGTTTTGTTTGCCACTTTAATATTAGATAAAAATTACGGTATAATAGGCGAACCGAAATAAGAATATTTTGTTCGAGTGGTAATGGAACTTTTGGTCTTGGTCTAATGGTAATGAAATTCCATTGAGTGTCTATTTTGGGTTGAGTTGCTATTAATGACCCTGATAGGAAATTTTAGAAGCATTAGCTTCCAGCCATATTTACATTAAATGAATTTTCGATCCTCTTTTATCAAATGTTTTTACAAGTTAGTTGGTTAAAATTTTCATTTCTTTCCTAGCGCCGAGGATTCAATCTATCCACAAAGATATTTATATTCTTCTTTTAATTATAGTGGACAAAAAATCATTTTTACTTGTGGCCTACAGAATTTGTGGGCCGGACCAGCGAGTCGCCTTGGCCATCTTTCCATCTATAATCGTGTGTACCCAGATAAAAAGTCTTGTGGAAATTAGTCTGGAATTAGTCTGAACTTATTGTCTAGGACCCTCCACTTATCAAAAAAGAAATATTTTGTTCGAATCTAGTAATTGTCATTTGAATTCCCATCTTTTTGGTGAATTTCAAATGTACAACGAGTTCTACGGTAAATATGGGCTTGTTATTAAAATCTCGGCCTTTAAAAATTTTAAACTGCTCCAAATGAGCCTGATGGGCCTCTGCAAGAGAAGTCAGTAGGGTTTTCAGCCGTGCCATCCATCTACTATTGCTTGCTGCAAACGTCTCCTCTTATATATACGAGATCGCGGCCACTTTCGTGTCTATTAGGTTTAGCTTCATATACATTGCATATTGTTTATTGCTGCAAAAGCCTCCTTGCTGTTAATCTTCTACTCCATCTACAAACATGGGGTACGTTTCTCCTTTCATGATTAGTGTTTCTATCTAGAAGTGTATGATATTCATGTGTTATAGAATACCTAGTGTAGAGGCAAAGGGACAATAGCTAATACTTGAGATATAGTGTGTTATAGAACCCCTTATGGTAGATATAGTGTATTCATGTTTTTTTTTGAACTAATGGCTTGGATATTTTAGTGTTTTTTTTCTTTCTGACTAATGGCTTGGATATTTGAGTTTTTGTGTTCTACATTTATGAAAGTTTTAAGGTTTTCTATTCGATGATCTCTGAACCTGGTGATGATGTCTTACAGAAAGACAAGGGGTATGGGATCTGCGCGTGTTCAAAAAGTGCGTCGGAAGACACAGAGGTGGTCAGACAAGAGCTACAAGAAGTCTCACCTAGGAAATGCGTGGAACAAGCCTTTTGCTGGTTCTTCTCATGCAAAAGGAATCGTCCTTGAGTTGATGTAAGAACTCTAAATCTAAAGGACATATAGTTTTCTTCTTTACTTTTAGTGTGGTCCTTGGTATTGATGCGGTAGTCTCTATTTGATTATGCAGAGGAGTCGAGGCCAAGCAGCCTAACTCTGCCATCCGTAAGTGTGCTAGAATACAACTTGTCAAGAACGGAAAGAAAGTTGTTGCTTTTGTTCCCAACGATGGTTGTTTGAACCTTCTTGAACCAAATGTAAGTTGAATCAAAAAGCCTTTGTGCTGTCAGTTATAAATTTTGTCAAAGGTTTGAAACATCTTTTGTTTATCTATTTTTGCAGGACGAGGTGTTGATCTCTGGATTTGGTCGTAAGGGTCATGCTGTGGGAGATATTCCTGGAGTTAGGTACAAGGTAGTCAAGGTTTCTGGTGTTTCACTCTCGGCTCTTTACAGGGGAAAGAAGGAGAAGCCAAGGTCTTAAACTAAGCTTATTCAAGTTTTTGATGTCATAAGCACTTTCTTTTTGGTTCAGTTATAAAAACTCTTGTGTTTCCTTCTACTTCATTTCACCAACTTGATGTCTTTGAAAAATTTAAATGAGCAAACTCAAAAACTCATTTAAATTTTTCAAAGACATCAAGTTGGTGAAATGAAGTAGCAAATGAGTCAAAGGAGAGACCAGTACTACTTTGAGAAACTCTCTTCACATGTTACATTATTTATGCTCTAACCATCCAAAAACTTTACTTTGAATCCTTTAAGTACCTGCTCATTACAAGATTCGAAGCTTTTTGGTTACAAGATTAGATGTTAATTTATCAAATATCTAGGCTCATCACAAAATGGATTAAACTCAAGTTGATTAATACAATAAGTTGTTATACAAAAAATAACATCAAGTTGTTAAAAAATCCTTTATTATTATTTTTTTAACTCGGAAATATTTTATTAATGATCAAAGTAATCAAATACAAATGCATTCTGTATGCAATTTGGGATGTAAGCATGAAACATAAAAGATTGAGCATTTGGAATTGGATGCTTCGCTAGTAAGTCTAAGTCAGCACATGAATTGGAACCTCTATTTGTCCATGTATAGTGTACTTCCTGAAACTTCTTTTCCCATCGCCATATGTCATGGATCCAGTTAAAAGAATATCATTTATATAAACATCATCAACAATTGAAATTACGGTATTACTTAAATTTCCCAAAGAAGTGGCATGCAAGGAAGAGAAAAAAAAGAACATATCTTTCTTCATTTTGCCATAACGTAGATGATCTGTGCCACAGAAGGCTATGTTTCTTTTTTATATTTTGAAGCAAACCAGTTATTAAAAAACAAAAATAAAAAAATTGATAACTTACCAAACCGAAAAAAAGCAAAGAAAAGACCACATGCAACTGTGCAAGTTACAATATAGATCACAAGAACTGGATTTGGCAATTGGAGGAACACTACAAGAAAACAAAGCATTTACTAGGAAATTTTACTAGAAAAATTCTTCCTCGTAAATTTACTAAGCGTTTACTAGGATCTTACGAGGAAAGCAAATTTCCTCGTAAGTTCCTCGAAAACTTACGAGGAAACACTTTCCTCGTAAGACCTTAGTACATTTACGAGGAGATTACGAGGAAAAAGTACTTTTCCTCGTAAGGCCGTTGTAAACACTTTCCTCGTAAAGGCGTAGTAAAATATTACTACGAAATTAGGAGGAAATAATTT